CCCCAGGGGGTGCGGAGGAGGCGAGAACCAACCGGGGTCAGCTGCGTGCAAGGCTGCCAGGCTGCCAGGCGAGCGAGACCTGCGGGACTTGTCAGGTCATTAGCGCTTAGGGCCCCCTCCGCGGTGGCGCCCTTTGATTCCTTTGGCCCCCTCTGCTGGGGGTCTCAGACCCCCCCAAGGGCCTCTTCCGGGATGACTGAGGCTGCCGGGGGGGGGGGGGGGGGGGGGGGGGGGGGTCGCCTGCCCGCCCGCCCACGCCGCTCCCCTCCTCCCCTGGCGCTGCCCTCCCCCGACCTCCACTCTTGGACGCTGCATTCCAGGCGAGGGAGCCCCCGAGAGGGTCGCCAGGGGGTGCGGGAAGGGGAGGCTCCTGCTGGCCAAGCCCCCGGGGGCTTGCAGCCTCCATTTCGCCCCCTCCGGGACTCGTGGGAGGCCCCTGCTAAATGGCGCCGGGTCCCTGGCTCGCCTGCATGCCCATTGCAGCTTCTTGGGGGGGTGGGAAAAAGAACGACCCTTCTCCCACCGGCTGCACTAAGCACCCGTTTTTTGTTTTTTTTTGGGTTTTTTTGGTTTTTTTTTTTTTTGGTCTTTTGCTATTTTTTTTTTGTGGTTGTGTGTTTGGTGGTTGGTTTTTTTTTTTTTTTTTTTTGGCTAGGGCTTGACTGCCATCCTTTGCAAAATGGCCGCAGTTACTTTTCCTGTTGAAGTTTTTTTTTAGTTTTGTATTTTTTTTTTAATAGCATTTTTCTCACCTATTTTGTTTACTTCCTCCCCAAAGTAAGGCTCTGTTTAGCTCTTAACGACTTAACGACCCACCTGGATAAAAGCTCTCCAGGTCTGGATGTTTCTGGGTTTTTTTTTGTTTTCTTTTTTGTTTTTTTTTTTGTTTTTGCTTACACCTGGCCATGCACAGGGGTTCCTCCTGGCTCATGCACTCAGGAGTTACTCCTGGCAGTGCTCAGGGGACCCTATGGGATGCTGGGAATTGAACCCAGGGCGTGCAAAGCCAATGCTCTACTCACTGGACTATCGCTTTGGCCCGGGGTAAGAACAATTTTTTTTTCCTTTTTGGGTCACCTGGCAATGCGCAGGGGTTCCTCCTGGCTCATGCACTCAGGAATTACTCCTGGCAGTGCTCAGGGGACCCTATGGGATGCTGGGAATCGAACCCAGGTGGCCGTGTGCAAGGCAGACGCCCTACCCGGCTGTGCTATTGCTCCAGCCCCATGTTTCTGTCTTTTTCCACTGCTGCTGTAGGGTCAGCGCCAGAAACAATTGATAACTGAATATTTGTCCCATGATTGAGCAAGGAAATGATACGCTGCTGCTCCTGGAAGTGCTTCGATCTCTTCATGAGAAATGAGAAATTATGCCATGAAGTGTCCATGTACCTTCCCGATTTTGTTCTCCATTCTGCGTTTACTCAGTCAAGTGTTTATGCGGTTCTTTCCAAGAGGGAATATACTTACAGAAACAGAAATTTCCCCATAATTCGCATTTCCATTGTAAGTGTCACTCTTAAAGCTTTCGCATTGGAAAAAGAAATGATATTCAGAGGTGCTGTCAAATAGGAATCTTGGGAAGGTAAGGATTCTGTGGTTCCTTGGCAAATTAAAAAAAAAAGAAATGACCTGTTTTCAATCCTGATCTTCTAATTGGTATTTTTCTGGATGCTGCCTTGAGCATCATTGATTGCCGAGCTTAAGATTAGGATGTATTCGGATAAAACTAACACATGTGTATCAATTCATTTCATTAGATAAATGCACTGCTGCTGGGAAGAAGTGAATTAGAGCAAAAGAGACCCAGGCTCTCCTGCAGCTTTCTTCAAAGTAAGTAGAGAGACTTCAGTAATGCAAAGAAACGGATCTCTATAAAAATCAGAAGCAAGTGAAACGTTTAGCTCGAGGACGGAAAACCATGGTATCACGTGAAACTGACCAGAGGAGGTGGCGTTTGAACAAAGATGATCTTAATGTGGAAGTGCAATAAACCAGGGAGGGAGAGCCTTTACTTAATCAGTGGCCGTGGAGGGCATACTTAATTGAGAGCAGAGAGCATGTGCAGTAGGGCTAGAGGCTCATGCCCCTGTACTGAAAATTGAAATAGAAGACTGGAGATGCTGTGAGATACATTTGAAGAGAAAGGCAGAAACCAAATCAAACTGTAATTATTTTAAATGGAATCATCTGAGAAGGGAGATTGTGTATCACTAAACCCAAGATTTAGACCAATTACTAGTCATTCTGCTGCGGAGGTACTATATTGATACTCATTGATTCAAAATTTATTTTTAGCTTCAGGAACTAGATTTTTTAAGGCAAATATTCCTAGGTATAATCTTTCTGGTTTATTTCAACTTTTAGAAGACAGAATAAACACTGCTAGTTTAAAAAAAATTAATGGCACTTTTAAAAATGCACCTCAGGGGCCCAGAGTGATGGTGCAGCGGGTAGGGCTCTTGCCCTGCACGTGAAACCCGGGTTCAATACCCAGCACCCCATATAGTCAACGGAGCCCAACCAGAAGTGATCCCTGAGCACAGAGCCAGGAGTAAACCTTGCGCTGGATATGGTCCCAAAACATATATGGCCCAGAGTGATGGTACTGTGCGCAGGGTGTTTGCCTTGCATGCAGGGGACCTGGGTTTGTTCCCCTTGATCCCCGGCATCCCACGTGGTCCTCTGGGTAGAGCCTCCAGTAACTCCAGAGCGGTACTGGGTATGGCCTCCAAAATAACAGAATAAAAACATACAGTCAAATGGAGCTTAATGGGGCTGACTATATGCCTTGCATGTTCTGGTTTCAATACCTGGTACCAAATGGTTCCCTGAACATTGCTAGAAGCAACTCAGCACTGACTCAAGAGTGCCCCTGAGCTCTGCTGGGTGTCCCCAAAACAGGCAAATAATAACATAATTACAACGTGTTGGTGCCACTTTTTTTCTTTTTGGGTCACACCTGGCGGTGCTCAGGGGTTCCTCATGGCTCTACACTCAGGGGACCATATGGGATGCTGGGAATCGAACCTGGGTTGGCCGTGTGCAAGGCAAATGCCTTACCCGCCGTGCTATTGCTCCAACCCCAGGGTTCATGCCATTTTGACAAGAAAAGTGTGCTTTCAGTTGCTAAGGAAAAAGTTTTAAGTTGTGTGTGTGTGTGTGTGTGTATGCACACTGTGTGTGTATACAAAAAAAAAGAAAGTAAATTGTTTGTATTTTGAGACCACACCGAGCACCGCCGGGTGGGCTTGCTTACTCCTGGCTCTGCGCTCAGGGATCACTCCTGATGGACTAAGGACCAAATGCATTGCTGGAGATTAAACGGGTTTGCTACATGCAGGGCAGGCACTACCTCTTAGCTTCAAATCTAGTTCCTGAGTATATTACCTCTGTAATATCATTCCAGCCCCAAATATGTTTATATATGTATAAGTAAAATATAAAATATATATAACGAAAATAGATCATATAATAAGTTGAAATATAATCATATCTAATGTATTTCTAATATATCAGGTGATTTTAAATGCCTTCCTTGGCAGTTGAGAAAGCATGCTCTTTCTGTGTATATTTTGACTAAATGTAGATGGCATGTCACTTTTAATTGTAAAAATGAGGTTACCAAGCAGTGAGATGGTGGAGGGAGAAGGAAGATACAGAGTAGAAGTGAGACACAGGCAGGATCTTCTACATCTAAACCATAAACATCAACAGCATTGCAGCATTGTTGCCTAAAGCACTCTAGAATGACTAATCTTTATTTTTTCAGGCAGTTAATTTTATTTCCTATTTTGTTACGTGGGGCCAGGACACAAAGCAGGGCCTCCTGTATGTAACACAAGTGTTCTTCTGCTGCCCTTTCACTGTATTGGATCTGCCCCCTTGGAAAAGCCTGTGGGGCTGGAAATAGCTCGGAGCTGGAGAGCGTGCCTTTAGGCACACGATGCCACGAGTTGTAGGACTTGGACCCATCCGCACTCCTGCTCTAACTGCTTCTGAGACTTCAGACCAAGAGTCCCTTCAGAGCTCTGAGCACTGCAGGGCCGGTTTGCTCCAAAAAGTATTCAATTGATTTTGATTCTTTTGGGGGGGGTGGGAGGCAGAGGGTCACTTCCTGCTGTCCTCAGGATTGCTGCCAACAGGGACCAGCCTGACCTGCGGTACTTTCTCCCTGGCTCTCATTTTTGTTCTCACTTTTTACAGCCAGTTACCAGGACAAGAAAATTAAATGCTAATTAATAATGCAATTGAAACATTAAGCCAAAAGTTCTTAGTAGAATTGTATAACCTTGCTCCCGAGTCCCATTACTTATATCCTCTTAAGAATGGATACATTGGGCCGGGCCACTTGCCTTGCATGCAGCCAACCTGTTTTCCATCCCCGGCACCATATTTTGGTCCCCTGGGCACCACCAGTTTTGGGGTGTGCACGGTGGGGAGTGGTTTGTTGCTTGGTTTGATTGGTTTAGTAGTGGGGCCACAGCTGGCAATACTCTGGGGTAACTCCTGGCAATGCTGAGGGGCCATATGGGGATCAAGCTCGGTTCTGCCACATGCAGAGAAAATGCCCTACCCACTATACTGTCACTTTGGCCTCATTGCGGGGGTTTTGTTAGTTTGGGCTTTCGGTTTGGGTTTTGGCTTTTTGTTTGTTTTGGACTGTTTATTGATGCATTTTAACCCTTGAGTCACCTAGAGCAGGGTTAGCATGCTCGAGCGCCAGGATCAGAAGGGAAGTCAGGTAACTTGTAGGATAGGAAGACACAGGTAAAATCTTTATTATGATCTATGTCTTGTATCAGTCGTTCAGCATGTTCATTTGTTTCTGGGTGCTTCTCTGAGGTCATATGGCTTAAATGTTAATGTTGCAGCATATTTGAAGTAATGGTTCCTGTGTTAACAGGTGATTCCTGAAGACAGCTGACGCAGATCTCTACTACGTGGGAGAGATTGATAACTCTTGGTGCACAGCTTCAAGGAGGAAGCCTGCAGGGCAACATGGATCAGCAGCTGAACAGCAAAGCATGGACATGTGATTGGAAAGGGCAGGGAAGAGCAGCCTCCGGTGGGACTAAGCGTCGCCCAGTCCAGCAAGCAGAGGTGGAACCATTCACAGTGACATGGGATTTACAGGATGAAGATGTCCACTCTGAGACCAGCTTTCAGACCGGAAAGGCAGGAGAGGATTCCTTCTCTGATTGTTACATAGAATGCATAATTAGAGGTGAGTTTTCAGAACCCATTCTGGATAAGGACATACTTCTGAAGTCCTTTGCACCAGAGCAAGAGCTTTCTCGACAGGTTCTTGCAGCGAGCTCTTTCATTGAACATTCTTTGGGATGCAATACAGTAGAGGCAAAACAAGCACTTTCTCCACAGAGTGCTGGAGAGAATTCACTTGTTAAGTATTCTGGATACGCGGCAGGCATAAATTTCAATGTGGCTCCTGGAGGAATACCTAGCATGGATGTACCAGTTCCTAAGAAGCTTGCTAAATTGATGCCAAAAGGAAATATAAATACAGAGCACGCTGTGCCAGAAAATATTTGCCCTCAGCATGGATGTGGCAAAAAGTTCAAAGATAAAGCATCCCTGAAAAAACATGTCCGTACTCACGGGCCCCGAGATAACGTGTGTGCTGAATGTGGAAGGGCATTTTTGGAGAAGTCAAAACTAAATAGACATTTCCTGATTCACACTGGAGAGAGGCCGTTTCAGTGCACCTACGAAGGGTGTGGGAAACGCTTTGCCCTGGACTTCAATTTGCGTACACATGTGCGCATCCACACCAATGAGAAATACTATGCGTGTCCCTTTAAAGGCTGTAAGAAGAAGTTTGTGCGGTCAGATAACCTGAAACTTCATGTCTTAACTCATGAAAGCACCAAGGAGGATCAGTGAGACAGAAGATGGAAAACAGGACAGTCATCAATGAGTGACTGGGACCAGACATGTGAATGATTATGCTTTCTGTGAAAAATTTCTTCCACCAATATTATAATCCTTGAAGCCAAATTTTTTGATACTGCAAATATGTTCCTATAGCTTGATAGCATTCTAAGAACATTTTGAACGAAGGTGGTGGGCATCTGATGGGAAACTCTGTAACAAACTTACTTCAAAAACAATCTCTACAACATATTGAACTGGATGGCTAGATATGAAACTTGCTTTTGTGGAATGTAAATAAGAAATTCGTGTCAATGTTTAACTTGTAGTTTCCAGTTTAATTTTTTTGCCTTTTAGGAATATACTTTATGCTGCCTATAATGATGATAGAGAATGAAAAATTGTCAGACTCTGAATAAATAGATAAGTAAAGGTTTTCCAAAATTTATTCTTAAAATAATTTTCCTGGGGTCAGAGTGATAGTAGGGTATCGCCAACCCAAGTTAGATCCTCAGAATCCCAGGAGTGATCCCTGACTGCAGAACCAGGAGGTAAGTCCTGAGCACTGCTTTATGAGACCCAGAAAACAAAAAATCATTTTCCTTATTGTAACAAGGTATTTTAAAATGATAAACCTACTATAAGTATATGGTTATTGGATAGTGTCAGTGATTTGAATCCCTCTTAGATATTTTTCAAATAAAAGAGTCAGGGATGTGACAATAGAGAGCATGCCTCGTATGCATGAGAACCTGGGTTCAATATCTACCCCGCGAAAAAATAAATCCAGAAAGGAAAATAAAAATCACTAAATCTTCATTTAAAAATCCAAAATTACATTTAAAAGTGTGATTTATAGCTTGCAAAACATTGTATAATTTGACAGTTCTGTATGGGGGAAGGGGAAGGGATAAGGGGATTATCTTTCTACATAGTTACAGTATATTTCATGGATATTTTTGGAGGGTGTTTGCAAGTGACCTATTGGTTTTCTCCCTGCTGCTTGTCATCATTCCTCTCTCGAGATGACCTCTTACGAGGATACCAGTCATGGCTGGACTTAATAGCTGAACATATCTGTTCTTAATGTTTACTGATTTCCTCTCTCAAGACCTGATCTCCAAATAAAGCCACATTAAAGATAACACTAGGAACCAGAATTTCAACATGAATTTGTCAGGGGTGGGGATATACAGATCAACCATGGCATGCATTGTTTTGGAGTACATGAAGTCTATTTCTAGAACTATTCCACAGAGATAGTTTCAATGATAACGTTTGCTTAAGGATGTTAACTGAAGCACATATTTAATAGCAATGCATTCAGATAGTTTAAATCTCCACTAAAAAAAAACCAGTTGTGTTCATCAGAATACTTCCATTCAATACAAAATGCACAAGGATTTTTGGTGTTTTTTTTTTTTTAGTCTTAGAATTTTTGTGGAAGTATGCTTAATGGAACTATAAGAGGAAAGTTTCACAGCTTAAGGGCAGTCACAGAAAGGAGGAAAGTTGCTTTAAATAGATGAGACTGAATCTAGTGTATATATACTGTGGGGGGAAAATTGTAGAGAAACTGCTTAAATATTCTGAAAAATGGAATTATTCGGAGGTGGTTGATGAGAATAAAACTATTATCTCTAACATAGAAATTAATATATGTTATATAAGAACATTAGTCCCTGATTAGTTTATGGGGGTTTTTTTTGGGGGGGAGGGGATTCAGTACTGATCAGATAATGTAATCAGCTAAATACTTTAGGGTCTTTAGTTGGGGGGACACACCCAGCAGTATTTAGGATTTACTCTTTGCACTGAGGAATCACTCCTGGCTGACTTGGGACCATACAGGGTGCCAGGGATCAAATCTGTATTGACCTCATGCTAGACAAGCATTTTACCCACTGTGTTACTGCAGACACCACTGAGGCTAAGGGTAATACAAGTTTAACAACATTCCAGGGAAAATTAAAAGACAACATAAGCTACCTTTAAGTTTCATCTTGATTTTAGAAATAAAAAACTAACTTCAATGAGAAAAGTTCAAAGAGTAATGATTCTTTATACAAACTAAGCTAGTTTACTGTACATTACTGTGAGATTATAATTTTTGTTATTGATTTGGTATGGCACTTAAACAGTCTTATTTTGTTTGGGGTGGAGGGGACACACCCAGCATTGCCCAAGGCTTAATCCTGTCTGAGTTTAGGAATTGGGGCCATTGGGATGCCAGAGATTGGGCCCAGGCCAACCATGCTGAAGGCAAATGCCTCATCTCCTTCCTGTACTCTCCCCTATATTGTTCTATATCAGTGTGTTCCTGAGTCTCTTAAATTAGAAGCAACATTGCATACATAATCTAGTCCAAATACCCATTATATCAAACACCTAAGTACAGAATTTAAGATGAGAATTTGGTATTCGATCAGTGCCATGGAGCACCTTGTCCAGTTTTTGGTTAGACAGGTGTTGGTCTGATACCCTGGATTTCTATTCCACTTCACAGTCAAATCAGGATTTTAGGATTTGATGCCTCTGAAGACTTAATAAAAGACAGGATAAAACAGCAGTTGGAGAGTCAAAGTCTGGTTGGGGTTAGGCTGCAAAGTTTTTTTGTTTTATTTTGTTGTTTTTTTGTTTTATGTTGTTTTTTTGTAGGCCACACCAAGCAGTGCTCAGGAGTTACTCCTGGCTCTGCGCTCATGGATCACTCCTGGCAGTGTTCAGGGGACCATGTCGGGTGGTGGGATGCCAGGGATTGAACCCAGGTCAGCTGCATTACCTGCTATACTATTGCTCTGGCCCCAAGACTGCAAATCCTCAAGACTCAGGACATGGAAGGATTAAGGTCGACTCCTGTATGGAGACTTAACCTCCTTTTCTAGATTTGTCTTTTTGGAGCTGATACAGCCAAAAGCTCACTACTCACAACCCTAAATTTTAGTCACACAACATAAATCTGAGAAAATACTTGCGTATCTGTATTCCACAGCTTAAATATGTACTTCGTATTGGATAATATTTGACCAGCCTCTCAGCATTTTTTTTCTTTTTCTCGAATAGAAATCCTATGACTGCTAAGATTATAAGTAGAAAGTGTCATGGGGGTGAACTGGAATAAAGGGAAAATGTGATTAACTAATGAGAATGTCATCTGCAATCTTGCTAACGTCTTCCTAAAGAAATGTATGTGATTTGCCATATATTTTGAGTAGGAAGTTGGGAATAAGATGTGTAAACACATCATCAATCTGACAAATACATTTAAATCTTTACTTTTTTTCCAAATGTTGACATTTAAGACATGAAAATTCCGATGAACGGATAAATTCATGCTGGCATCTGTACTTTTTAATTTAATGACCAAATATTAAGTCAATATAGATAGCGAAATGCTCTCTATACAATGCTGAAAATCTTAGAGTAAAACATTTAATTTTCTTATTACACTAACACATAGGACATAGTTCATAGGCACTTAGTAGTTTATAAACAAATGTGTAAAAATATAACTTAGTACGCTGCTGAGAAGCAAACTATAAAATCAGAATTGTAATTCAAAACAATAAATGGGGGCTGGAGCAATAGCACAGTGGGTAGGGCGTTTGCCGTGCATGTGGCCGACCCGGGTTCGATTCCCAGCCAGGAGTGATTCCTGAATGCAAAGCCAAGAGTAACCCCTGAGCATCGCCAGGTGTGACCCAAAAAGCAAAAAAAAATAAATAAAAATAAATTAATGGTTACTGTTTTTAGAGCAAATCTCTCGGTTACTGTGAAGTTAGGTAAATAACTTTCCTAAAACTGTACATTTTAAAAAGTATGTATTTATGGGGCTGGAGCAATAGCACAGCGGGTAGGGCGTTTGCCTTGCACGTGACCGACCCGGGTTCAATTCCCAGCATCCCATATGGTCCCCTGAGCACCGCCAGGGGTAATTCCTGAGCACAGAGCCAGGAGTAACTCCTGTGCATCGCCAGCTGTGACCCAAAAAGAAAAACGAAAACAAATAAAAAGTATGTATTTACTTTATGGACCAGATATTGGGAAAGGATTACACAGATAGTATGCCTAGAATTCATTAACCATCACCTAGGGTGGCAGACTAGATCGCACTTCAATATTTAATCGTGCCAAGTACAAATATATTGGCTGGAGCGATAGCACAGTGGTAGGGCGTTTGCCTTGTAAGCCGCAGGCGGGCTGAGCCAGGTTCGATTCCTCCGCCTCTCTCGAAGAGCCCGGCAAGCTACCGAGAGTATCTCGCCGCACGGCAATACCTGGCAAGCTACCCGTGACGTATTTCTTATGCCAAACACAGTAACCACAAGTCTCACAATGGAGACGTTACTGGGCCCGCTCAAGCCAATCAAACAACAATGGAAGGACAGTGCTACAGTGCTACAATGCCTTGTGTACTTATGTAAATCGGCCAAGTTGGCCGCGTGCAAGGCAAACGCCCTACTGCTATGCTATCATTCTAGCCGATATACGTATCCCTCTCTCTCTTTCTCTCTCTCTATATATGTACATGTATATATATGTATATATATATATATATACACATATATATATACTCATTCTTGGGTTTATGCCCTCCATATCTGATCCTTTAGGGCCTTTGCATGTGGCTTGGATTTTGTCCAGAATGGGGGTATTACGGTTGTTTAGGTGGTAGTTGGTTTCTAAGAAAGCAAGGCAATAGCACCCGGACCTGGAATTGACTGGCTACCGTTGCATCATTTTGCCATGCTCCATTGATACAGCAATCACAAACCAGGCAACAAGATTCCAGGGGAGTCTCAGTGGGTCGGTCAAAACTGCAAACATCTTTTAAATCTGTCTCTCTCATAGTCCCCAAAAGTAATAACCACTTTTTTTTTTTTTTTTTTTTTTTTTTTTTTGCTTTTTGGGTCAAACCCAGTGATGCAAAGGGGATACTCCTGGCTCTGCACTCAGGAATTACTCCTGGCGGTGCTTGGGGTACCATATGGGATGCTGGGGATTGAATCCGG